TCCTTCCCTCATCCATGTGGACTTTAACATCCCAATCAACAACCTCAACTGCCCTGATGCCTCCTGTCTGCTCTCTGTAACTGTGTAACCACTCCTAGACACAGTGATCTACTTCAGCAACTCATACAGCAGGAAACACTCTTGACCTTATCTTCACCAATCTCTGTACCTTCTCTAATCTCTCCAATGTTCCATTTCCTTTATCTGACCACCATCTGTTGACCCTTGACATCGGCATACCCCGTACCCAAATTTCACCACCCTCAACTCTTCAATCTGGCAGAAACCCCCACTGCCTTGATCTCCAGCATTTCTCTACCAAACTCTCCTTTTACCCATCTCAAATCTCACTTGCCCTAACTCTGCAACCTCCCTCTAAAACTCCACTCTCCTCTCAACTAGACATCATGGCATATCCTACATTTAAAACACACTTCTTCAGGAAAGCATATCACTTAAACTGTTAGCGGGTTTTCATCCCCCTCACCCCCCCTCATATGACTCCTCTCCTGCTACTGTCAATAATAACCTAAGTTCTCAGTGAATACTTTTTTAGCAACCTATTTCATTACCTCTACTTATACCCTTTGTGTCACTATAACCCACTCCCTCTAGCATGTAAGCTCATTGAGAAGGGGCCTCAACCCCTCTGTTCCTGTGCGTCCATTTGTCTTGTTACAATTACGTGTCTGTTAGTTCACCCATTGTACAGCGCTATGGAATTTGCTGGCGCTATATAAATAATAAAATAATAATAATAATAATATCATCAAAGGGAATGCATCAGAGCCCCTGACTCTGACTCACATGTTCTGCCAGAGATGATTCATCAGAGGGGAACCAACTTGTGGCCAATCTGGTTTAATAAGGGGGTATTGATTTGATTAGCGAACCAATTAATTAAGAGGTACTGGTGTGGTTCTCATGATTCTAATAAGAATCTGTATTTTGTTCTTATAAATCGGCAATTTGATACATGTACTCTGTATAAGCAGGTGCCATCTCACTTGTGTTTTTAATCAGGGTTATTTTGCATTTATATGGATTTGTGTTTTTGTGATTTTAAACTTCATGTAATAAAGGTTACGTTTTATACCTTTCCATTAATCGGAGTTTAATCTATTCAGTTTCTTCTAACTAGCTCTTGCAAACATCTCTTTAGTATTTAGGTTGTAAAATGTATAAGCATATTAGGGGTTAATCCCCAATTAATTGTTTTTTTCATTCCTAGCTCTGTTTTTTCTTTGTTCTATGTTGAAGTCATGTTGAACTCTACAAAGAGAATTTTTACAAATTCTTCCAGCACAATTAACATGCAATGAAACAATTAACACTAGTATGAATTAATAAAGACACTATTAAGTATAAATTCTTACAGTTTAATGCATTTAAGGTCTTCAAAGACTGAATCTAATAATCTGCTACATTCACTCAATTCTGGCATCTATCTTTAACCCATTTACAACTGTAGTTTTTCTTGTAAAGAATCATTACTAATTTGATTCTCAGCTTAAAATCAAATGATGAAATCAATTCCACAACATTGACACAAATATAAATGTTATCTTGATGCATGGAATATCCAGACAAGTCTTATATACCGACTGCCAAAATATTAGTGGGTAAAGCTAACGATGGAGATCAATAAAACAATGAAAAATCATACCGAACAAGAATACTATACTAAATAGCTGTTGGGAAAACTGAATATAAAACCTTTGACATAAATAAATATGCACTTTTATTAAAGCTCATCAATCCTTCAGTGCGAAGACAGATAATTAATGGCAACTAATTTGCAAGTTGCAGTCCCCTGAAAATAATTTATTTGAAGCTGTCAACACATTATACCCTACTAAGTACGTGAAGTGAAAAAGCTTATCGTGTAGTAAAACAAAAATATGACTGAGAGCAGGCACAGTTCTTATATCCCGAATCAGAAGGTTCACTCCTGACATCTTCCAACTGCAAAAACATTATTTAAATTAATGTAAAATAAAAATGTGTTCAATTCTTAATTTTAACAGTAGGTGATATAGTTTACTATAAATAGCATTAAAGGGACATTACAGTCACCTAAATAACTAACTGCAGGCATTTTAATGTAAACATAGCCTTTTCAGAAAAAAGGCAGTGTTTACATTGTTGCCTAGTAATACCTCTAGTGACAGTCACTCAGACGACCACTGGAGGTGCTTCCTGGGTCAGTGCTGCACATCATTTGATTTAATGCATCTCTATAAGGAGAGGCTGATTGGCGCAGCGTGGCGTTTTGGGGGCGCATGCACAATAGCCTCCCACTCTTTCATTTTGAAAAGATTTGGATTAGCTGAGATTATCATTTCTGATGATTTCAGCCACAGAGCAGGGGCTGAGCCAGCCGCAAGGAGATCCACACGTCACTGCAAAAAAGTGATCAAAATCCCTATTTTTCACTGGGAGCAAATGAGGCCTGTAACCTAAATGGTGTTTTCGCACCTACAGTGTATAGTGAGCTATGAGAATTCAGAAAGAGAGTTCATGAGAACATTCAGAACATGTAAAAATGTATACCTTTGGTTAGTCTCCACACAGGCCTCAAACAAGTTTGAGATTTGGAATGTCATAGTGGGTGGGATCAGTCTGATATGCAAATGCTATGGCATATTGAAATGTGAGCATGGACTAAGCAAATGGCAAGTGATCAAGCTATTAAGTATTTGTTAATTCTCAGTGTTATACTATATTGTTTTGGTAATACAATGTCTTTAATATTAAAAGGTATTTTAAAGTAACATGCTTATTAAAAAATAAAATAAAATAAAAAGTAGAATGCCAGCATATATATTGAGCTTGGGTGGCTAAGCAAAAATAATTACATACCTGATTCTCAAGGTCTGCTTTCTTTTGTTTGTTTTCTTCAAGCTTTTCTTCAAGTTTAGCTAATTTGTCCTGTACCTCCTTCAGAGCTGCTTGCTTCTTCTTTAGACTGTCCATTGCAACCTTAAGCTCACTCTGAGCCTGGTTCAATTTTATTTTTTTTGGAGCCACTACCTTTGCCACCCTAAAAAATAAAAAATAAAAAATAAGTTAAGCTGAGGGACAATTGTATGAGTTATGTTTATAATTTTTTTTATTTTTTTTATTCTTTATTTGTATTGTGGCAGCAAAACAGTAAAATCGACAATTGTCAAATATGCCACAGGTTTATAAAATAAATATCGTCTCAATTTCCAGTAACATAAAAATTAATTTAAATCAAAAACATAGATAAGAAGTCATACGTGCGGTAGGGACCGTGACTGTGTCATGAGCTCTGAGGCTACCCCTCTGACTGTATTCTGTGCCCCGTGTTTCTATATTTATTCTCAAGCACTTTGTTGCCCGCTGTATTGGTGCTCTGTCTCCCAGGTCTGGGGCCTTCTCTGTCCTGCCCGTTTATTCCCTCTGTCATTTCTGATTATCCTCTCTCCAAGTGTTGGCTGATCCCTCTCAGGTTCCTTCTCTGTCCTGGTTCAGGTGTGGATGGCAGATCCGAGTTTAAGCAGGCATCCTGCTGGGAATTTTGTGGGCGTCTCGGGCTGTCCTGTGTAGGGGGCTCCGGGTGTATCCCTTTTCTAATCTGTGAGTTGTGCTCCGTATATCACCAGAGTAACGCTGCTGAGTATGTGATCTCTGTAGGTGCCCTGTTTTCCTGCATGCCCTTGTGTCAAATCCACTCTGGAGATGGTGATCTACTCTTCTCTACTGGTAGTCCTTCCCTTTCTCCCCTTGGGTCTGCTCTGTATCTCCTTTCCCCCCGCCGTCTGAATCACTGGCGCTTCGAGGCCTACCAGACGCCATTTTAGGCTGTGGTGGCTGTTGCGGCCTTTCGAAGGATTGCCTGTTGCGGGCGAGTCTTTTGTTTTTTCGCCCCATCTCTCTGTGGGGGGTTTCAGCGCTGGTTGCAGCTTGGTTTTGGGGTCACAGTGCTGTGTTTTTGTGGCGTTTTAGGTCGTTTTTGGGTGATTTGAACAGCAGCTCCACATAAACACGTCTTGCTTGCTACTCTGCTTGCCATGCCCCCTTCCATGTTTATAAAAGCATCACAGTGGGAAATGTGTAAGCTATTATATAAACACTGATCAGCCAAAACATTAAAACCACTGCTAGGTGAAGTGAATAACATTGATCATATCATTACACTGGTACCTGTAAGAAAGCTATATTGCCACAGAGTGGTCAGAGTGCCCATGATTACCCCTGGCCACCGCCGAAAGCACATTCAATGGGACATGAGCGGCAGAAATGGACAATGGAGCAATGGAAGAAGGTTGCCTGGTTTGATAAATCAGGTTTTCTTATAGATCAGGTTTATGGCCAGGTGCATGTGTGTCGTTTACCTGGGGAAGAGATGGCAGCAGGATTCACTATGAGAAAATGGCAGGCTGGAGGAGGCAGTGTTATGCTCTGGGCAATGTTCTGCTGGTAAACCTTTTGTCCTGGTATTCATGTGGATGTTACTTTGACACGAACCACCTACCTAGAGATTGTTACAGACCACATAGCTGCTTCATGGCAATGGTCTTACGTGATGGCAGTGGACTCTTTCAGCGGGATAAGAAAGACCATGCCACACTGCAAAAAATGTTCAGGAATGGTTTCAGGAACTTGACAAGGTGTTGCCTTGGCCTCCAAATTCCCCAGATCTCAATATGTAACGAACAACAACTCCGATCCATGGAGGCCCCTTGTTGCAACTTACAGGACTTTACGGATCGGCTGCTAGCATATTGGTGCCAGTCCACAACAGAACACATTCACAGGTCTTGTGGAGTCCATGCCTCAATTCATCAGAGCTCTTTTGGCAGCACGAGTGGGGGCCTCAATATTAGGCAGTTAGGCAGGTGGTTTTAATGTTGTGATGAATCAATATATATATATATACATATATATATATATATATATATATATATGTAAAAAACAGATAAAATTCTTATCTTGTAATACCTTTTTTATTGGACTAACAGAATTTTTTAATGACAAGCTTTCGGGAGAACCTCCCTTTCTCAAGTCTGAAGCATTTCTGAGCAAAACGACACATAGAAATGCTTCAGACTTGAGAAAGGGAGGTTCTCCCGAAAGCTTGTCATTAAAAAATTCTGTTAGTCCAATAAAAAAGGTATTACAAGATAAGAATTTTATCTGTTTTTTACATCTACATCACTGGACTAATACGGCTACAATCTCTACTTGAACACTATATATATATATATATATATATATATATAAAATTTAATGGGTTTTGCACTCCTGCTTTCCTGTGTTCTTGGCCCGGTGCTCAGCTGCACAAAATATAACTCCGGTAGAAAAACCAGCATTCGAGGACTTGTCAAAAAATTGTAAATTTAATCCAAAGATTAAAACAATTTATGATCCAATGGGTCAACGTTTCAGTTAAGACATTAGAACTTTCTTCAGGACATAATATATATTTGTTTAAATGGGACTGATGGATAGATGAACTAGAGGTAAATGTTTAGCTATTTACAATTCAAACTGAATAACGTATCAGATGCAATAACTTTATTACTTAAAGGGTCACTCGAAGCAATAGAGCAACAAGTTCATGGTGAAGAAAGTACTCTCACTTTTTCCAGAATGTATTATTACAGTAGTGTCCATTTATGTACTGCATATCGTCCCTCTTGTTTTAACCCTGCAGCTGAAAACATAGCAGTTTCAGAGAAAGGTAAGTAGTTGAAGGGGTTTTAACCCCTTCAGCCCAGTGGGAGGGAGGCCATGAGGGTGGGTGGGGGGGGGGACCTCAGGACTACATAGTGACAGGAAAACGAGTTTGTTTTCCTGGCACTATGGTGGTCCTTTAACTCACACAGCATGCATGAAAATAAAATTGTTTCATTTTCAATCAAATGTAACTTACTTTGAACGTTTTTATCTACTGCCATGTAAATTGAGTTTGAATTACTAACAGGAGGCTCCTGCAGGGTCTAGCAAGCTATTAATAGTGCAGGAGATTAGTAATTATAAATTAACAAGAATTTGCATTAATGGAAATGTAAACATTAGATGACTGCTTCAGTAAGCTAAAGTTGTTTTGGTGACTATAGTGTCAGCTTAATGTAACTGCCTATAATTTCCTAATGGCTCAATAATAAGGCAACCACTCTATCAGACTGTTCACATTTGAAATGTTATAAGTACCCAGTACTTATAAGTAAGTCAATACAATTCATAAAATACATTATGAAATTTGTGAATCACAATGTTATTCTTTTATATTTCCATATTTCCATATATATTTCCTATAAATAGTTAGTGAATAAAACATGTAATAAAATTATTCTTACTTATCGTAGGAATCCATAGCAATCACCCATTTGCAAAGTCCCTCTGCTGCTGTTGATGCATTGCGAATCTTATCTGGAACAAACTCAGCATTCGTGATGTAATTCTTTCTAATGATGCTCATATAAGCAGCTGGAATGTTATCCTTGTCGTATTCATGTAGTGACTGAAGAAATTTCATGTCGCCCAATACTCTTTTTGATGGTCCCCAGAAATCCTCAATCTTTCTCCCAGAGCCAGATGGATCTGGCATTTTGTCAGGTTTCACACCTTTTAAAATGCAAATTGCCTCCATAACAAGCTTAACTCCAGCAGGAGGGCTCTTCATAGCCTTCACCACTGTGATGTCCTACAAATAGAGATAAATTGTTCCTTTTAAACATTCTATGGAATACACATATTTTAAAATACTTTATTTAATTATCGGGTAAAGCTGTCAAAGAAACGTGTTATTCTTGACAAGTAGAACAAAGAATCAAAAGCACAGTTTTTCTTTTGATTCTGTGATAGTTTTTTCCATAGATATAAATGGTCAGCAAGTGTGATTTTCACTAGGACAATGTAGGCACTTTCTAAAAAGGATAAAAACACACATTTTCATTTTCATTTAAAGGAACACTGGAGGCACCACAACAACTGCAGTCTGTCATAGAGATTATGGTGCCAGGAGTAACCAAGTTAAGTAGTCAAACTGTTTGAAAACAACTTGGCAACTTACTTGTGGTCATCTTTGAGTGTTTATTTAACTATATTTTAATAAATTAAAATGTAACTCCATAATTTGACTTACCTACTGTTTCATCAAAGTAATCGAAAGTAAAGCAGAATAACTGATTCACTAAGCATAGAGCTGACAACAAACTTAGAACTTTTAGATCAAATTTGCTTAACTGGAAAAGTTATTCAACCACTGGGGGATTTCTTTAGGTAATGTATAGCTTGGAGGAAAGACATAAAACGGGGATATGACAGAAACATGTAAGTACATAAAGGGAATCAACACAGTAAAGGGGGAGACTATATGTAACCCCTTAAGGACATATGAAATGTGTGACATGTCATGATTCCCTTTTATTCCAGAGGTTTGGTCCTTAAGGGGTTAAAAGAAGAAAAACTACCACAACATGAGGACATAGTCTTAAATTAGAGGGGCAAAAGTTTAAAAATAATATCAGTATTACTTTACTGAGAGGGTAGTGTATACATGGAATAGCCTTACAGCTGAAGAGGTAGAGGTTAACACAGTTTAAGCATTCATGGGATAGGCATAAGGCTATCCTAGATACAAGATAAGGCCAGAGACTAATGAAAGTATTTAGAAAATTGGGCAGACTAGATGGGCCGAATGGTTCTTATCACATTCTATATTTCTATGAACAAGCTACAATTCACTATAAAGGGAATAAACTACTAAATGTGCAAATCTATGTCAATAACTTTAGATGAACACTTGTAAATTAAATCACAAGCTGCACATAGCCTATTCACTTCACTTAGCATCACTTAGCACAATATCCATTGTGTCTTTAGGAAGACACAATGAAACCAAACCAGTGAGTGCTATATCCCAGTGCTCATCTATCCTTTTTCTCAAACACCAGCAATTCAGCGCTTCTGCTTTCTTCAGACCCAGCACTAACTGTTAGGACTGTAAGGGGTAAGACCTCTTTTTATAAGTAATTGAGTTCTAGTTGTAATATAATTTGATTCCCTCTTCTGATAGAATTATGTAAAACTGTGCTTTGCTATTCAGAACACTAGTCATAGATGATAGTGATAGATGACTAATTGACTAATGTCTTGGAAAATTCAACTGTATAGCTTAAATGATTTGACTTGCTTTTGCTATCTTATATCAAGCCTCAAGATGCATAAGTACAGCACATCATAGTCTACTTCATCGTAGGTATCAAGCCTTTACAGACAGGTATACACCGTATGTCCAGTGCTTTAGTAAGTATTCTTCACAGATTGATAACAGTGTTGGCTCCTGGTAATATGAATACACCAAATTATTAACATGGAATTATAACCTATTAAATTTAGAATGGCAGGGAGAAACTCTAGTGAGAGGTTTAGGAGCCCAAACTGTCATTAAGAGATGCTAAAACAGATCTTGGGAACTAACTATGGATTAACCAGTTCTTTAAACATTTCTCAGAACCTCAAAGGTCCTTTTGAAGTGGATGAACTAAGTCACTGTGTAAATAAACATATTTAGAAATAATATTTACCTTTGTAAATACTGTAAAAATTACTTAATTGTTTTCTTCCTCATGTCATTAAAATATCACACATGATTTAATGTTCTTAAAACAGTAAAAAAGACAACCACTTCCCATTAAATATAAAATGCAGTGTGCAGATCAATTTAGTTTTATGACATGGCATTTGTTGCTTTAATAGTATACAATTAGAAAAAAAAAACTAACTCAAGTAACAAAATTAATAAAGAACACATACTTGTGCAGTAAGTGTGTCAAGTGCAGCCAAAGCTGATTCCAGAATGGGCAATGCCTGTGCTAGATCACTGTCACATTCATCCTTGATTGCCTTGGCAGCCATAGCCTGATCATTAGCCACAGCTTCATCTGCCTTCACAATCTTCTCCGTCTTGGCCACCTCTATGGATTCTCGTTCAATTATAACCATCATCTCATCAACCTCTCTGCTTGCCACCTTTAGCTGAGGCTGCAGAGCTTCTAGCTCACCCTGCATGGTTGACACTTGAGATGAAGCAGATTCCAGCTTCTCTAGACCAACCTCATATCTTCTTTTCATTTTCAGAACGTCTCTGTAATATAAAACCACATGTTAATTCAAATAATTCAGACACATTTTCAATTGTCATCTTAAAGAAATGTAATGAGTTCAGCTTAAACTTTGCCCCCTCCAGATGTTGCAGAACTACCACTCCCATTATTCTCCAGCTATCTGTCTGTGCAATATCTGTGACTTGTAGTCTATCAGTAAGTAATACAGTAAGTGGTATTAAATTGTAGTAAAATGTGCTACTTACTTTCCAATGTTCAAGCAGTTAAAAAGTATTACTTTGGTCTTACTGTAACATATATATAATATATAACTTGCATAACATTGTGAAAGAGGCAGCTCATTTAATGACTAGAAGGCAACCTGTTAGATTACTTCACTGAAATGTTCATCATGAATTATTGTGTGAATATCTCACATGCAATAGAGACATTATCTGTCTATGTTCTTCTGTTTCTGTCCCTATATAAAGAAAAAAAAATCTCTTTAGAGGGATTCTACAGGTGTAGCTCCTCCATGGTGCATGAAAACCCCTAACCAAGGGACAGCAGGGATGGGGGAGGGGAGTTGTAGGGATACCTCTATGTTTGTAAGTACTTTGCCTAAAAGGTACATAAAGAAATAAAAAAGAAATTGTAAAACAAAAACAAAAACCAAACAGAAAAGTCCACTAAACTACATATACTAGGCCCAAACACTTTAATACCATCCTATAGCGCCTCAACTGTTAGTGTGATTAAAAAATCAAAGAACACTTGTAATGTGACAAGCAGTATGTTATGCTGGCTTCTTGTAGCTTCTTGGTAATGGGCTGCATCGATCTTTGCCATTGCAATGTGGAACCATTAATATCTTGAAAGAAAGTGACATGGAGTGATTCAGAGTCCAGAGGTACCTGTTCCTGTAGGATTTTTATGAGCCTTGGTTTGTCGGCATATAATTGACATTTGAGTATAATATATCTTGGGGAGATCCGACAGTGATCCGCTAGGCCCATCTAGCGTAAAC